CCCTGGCACTTCGTCATAAGCGTGTTTTACAATGTAAAATTCAAAATTTGTTAAAACAAATTTTCATGTAAAAGGCGTGACGACGAATTCTCGAATTTAATTGCGTTTTAACCCAATCTGTCTCCCGTATGTAGTTATTTATAAAAACAAGATTTTAAATGCCTTGATTTTTTGTCCAAATGGTAGAAGAATGCTTTTCATTGTGATTACATGTACATATACTATTAAAAATTACAATTACAATTCGTTTTGAGAAATAATAAATTTCAAAATGAACATCATTCTAGTAAGTGCTAGTGAACCATGTAACTGTGTAATATCATAGTAAACAAGGAAAGTCAGACCGACTGTGTGAACAAACTAGCATTTTCTTATCAACTATAGAAGTAATTTTACCGTTTTCGAAAAAGATGGCAGCACAGGACAATGCAAAGGAGTGCACCTCCAGCCAAACAAATCCATGTTGCTATTCCCACCATACTGTGTAAGGATGTGTCTGCATGAATGAGCTCCTAGTCCGATGACCTCATTTTTTTATAGAAGAAATAACAGTATTTCGTCAGAAATTAGGTAATAACATTGAAGCTTATATATAATGAATGACAATACCTGTCAAAAAATATTTACGAAATAATTTAATGTATATTGCATCAAAAGGCCAAAATTTCCTCTTGTCAGTAAATATAGTCAATTGAATTATAATAATGAGCGACCGGGAGTTAGGGATTGTTCCACTTCCCCACTTCTCCAAATAGTTTTTAAGCAGCATTTTTAATGTGGAAATTGTCATTCAAAGACTGCTTACCCCACTGTTTGATGCACTATATGGTCACCCTCATGCATTTTAAAATTATTGTGCTAAAATAAATTCTGTTGCAATGACGCCAATGAGAGAGAAAAGGTATCTCGATTTCGGACATTTTCAGGATTTTTGTTTTTAACTTTCTTTCTTTATTTATTTTATCTATTTTTGTGTATTTATCTATTTATTTTATTTTATTTCATTTTACTTTACTTTTTTTATTTTTTTTTTGGGGGGGGGTGGTGGGTCAGTTTTATTTCAGACATATTTTCCCTTTCCTTGTCAAATATTTTTTTTCTGGTTGCCTCCACTGTGAAACAGCGATGCCAATTGCCTGAAGATCAGTCTAGACTCCAATTCCAACATTAAATGTGAACTCCCTTTTCTTTTAGTGAAATTGTGTGCATACTGTAACAGGACATCACTGGCTTTATACAGTGTCAGTCTCAAAGTGTAGACCAAAGAAACTCGTCAATGAAAATTTATGTACTCAAACAAGAGACTTTTCTCTGAATGTCTATAGAAAAGTATATTTATTGCATGGTTGGTATAAATCTCAGAAGCTGTAATTAAATAAATCAATTCTCTCATGAATGTTCTTCTACAAAAATTGGATTTAGCCTGTACATGTACGGCGGCAAAGTCGGCCTATTGTTTCTATATATTTAAATAATCATATCACCAAATTTTATATTGTTAATAAAAAATTGTGGGAAGACAGTACTCAAAAAAATGTAATTAATATATATATTAATTACATTTTTTGAGTACTGTCTTCCCACAATTTTTTATTAACAATTTAAAATTTGGTGATATGATTATTTAAATAGTCATTTTAACATTTTAACAAGCATTCTGAGAGTATTGCATTAGCAATACTAGTCCCCTACCGGCAAGTGTAATCTGGTTCCCGTTAAGAATTGAAAATGCCATAATTCTGTCAAAAATTAATGAAGCAGGACGAAATGCAAACTTGATCTATAACTAATCAAGGTAAAGCCACATGCCAAAAATCAGCTCACTATCTACAAGCGTTTAGAAGAAAATTGCGGAAAACCCGTAAAAATTGAAAAGGCCGTAATTCCGTCAAAAATCAATGAAGCGGAACGAAATGCAAACTTGATCTGTAACTCTTCAAGATACACTCACATACCAAAAATCAGCTCAATATCTGCAAGCGTTTAGGAAAAAAGTGCGGAAAACCAAGTGGGACAGACTGACAGACAGACAGAGGGAAAGACTATACATGTAAAATGTCCACAATTTTGCGCTTGTGTAAATTGAATTTTATTGTACCTCCATGTAACATGTTTGACATATGTCACTCAATTTTATGGAGTACACGCTTGCACTAGTATTTTTTATATTCAATTATGTGCTTTCGAGCAATCTTCAACTCGGTTCTCTGAATCACAATGCATCACTTACGATTACTTTTTAGAAGACAAAATAAAGTAAATTTAGCATTTGCTGGATGATATTTCAATTTAAAGGTTTGAACAAACATGTAAATAATATCGAAATCAAAAAAATAAATATTGAAATCCCAAATGCATTGCGTGGAAAGGCCGGGGGGGGGGGGGCTTTCTTAAATTTCTTTTCACCTCTCCCTCCTTTTTTCCTCCCCTTTTTACGCTTCTTATTTTTTTTTATTGAATCTTTTTACAGTACTGTCTTTTTTCAGCTCAACTGAACCAAAGGTTGTCTGTCTGGCTGTCAATCTTTTTTTCTCATTTTCAACTTAATTCTTCTCCAGAACCACTGGACAAATTTTAAGGTGGCTGAGAGTGAGAGAGGAACGAACGACAACTCTGCAAGGGAGATTGGCTTTACCTGTTCCAGAGATGTATGGATCGGTATGTCGGCCGGTAGACCAAATGTTATCCGCTCAGTATCTTGGAAACCCTTTGCTTGACAGATATCAAGCTTGGAACACTGATACCTCCTGAAGAGTAGATGACCCCTAACGTCACAAGGTCAAAAGTCAGGGGGGCAAACTACTCCTGAAATATATTATCTCGAGAACTCTTTCCTTGATATATATGAAACTTGGTTCATTGGTTCCCCTTAAGGAGTATATAACCCTTATTGATTTTGAGATCAAAAGGTGAAAGGTCATAGTAATGTATTGACAGCTCAATATCGACCACTCAATAACTTGAGCATCCTTTTTCTGACATCAGACTTGGTATGCTGGTTTCCTTTAAAAGAAGTTCATGCAGATGACTCCTGTTGATTTGAGGTCACAAGGTCATGGGTCAAACTGAATATATTGACCACTCAATACCTTAAGAACCCTTTGCTTGAAAGGTATTGAAATAGGTACACTGGTTTCCCATAAGGAGTAGTTGACCACTGTAGATTTTAAGGTCACAATGTCAAGGGTCATACTACTTTTTACATAGGAAGATGTCTACTCAATGTTTTGAGAACTCTATGCTTGACAGACATCAAACTTGGTACACTGGTTTCCCCAAGGGAGTAAATGACCCATTGTAGATTTTGCAGTCACAAGGTCAAACAACATAGAAACTAGACATAAGAATATAAATTATTGTCACTTCACTATTTTGAGAACCATTTGCTTTATAGACATTAAATTTGGTACACTGGTACTCTTTCAGAAAAAAAAAATAACCCCTAATGATACTGAGGTCTGATAGAGATAAACTCCCCTGACTAGTAGATGACCAGCAGTTTTCAATATCATTACAGACATTCTAAATTTAAAGTTGCAATAAAGGGCATATACTTCTCTTAAACATTTCTTTTTTTTTTAACTTTCACATGTTAAAAACTGTCAATAAGGCTTAATGAGAAAACAAGTAAATGTCCTTTCTTTTCTGTGCAAACTTTTATTTCTAAAAAGGTTTCAAGGTAAAATTGATGTAAACATCAGGAAAAGTTAGAAAGTATAAACAAATATTAACAAAGAGATTTGTCACAGCAAATATATATAAAATATAATATAAAAATGAATCAAAATACAAGCATCAAAGTTAAATTTCATCAAAGAAAAGTTGCACTGGATTGTAAGAATTCTCACTCCCCAATTATCAGCTTGTCACAATTAATAGAGAGGTTTTGCAGACCAACGTGTATATGTACGTGTACAGTACAAGTTAGAAAATACAAGTCCGCATTTACATATTTTCTCATTTAACAACATAACTTGTACATCTTTTTATAAATGCTTTAAATACAAGTTTTTACTTCAGATGATTTCAATTTTTTTTTGGGGGGGGGGGGGGGATAAGTTTATCCTTTTAGATTTATAATGTTCATGAGTAATTTAATTGTTTATATGCAAATATTTACAAAAATAAATTTCAAAAAGAATACTTATACCCTTAATTCTAAATTGATGTTTTGAAAGTCAAGATCAGTGTATTTACCGTGCATTAAAATAATTTTTATCATAAAAACTTGTAGTTCCTTGTATCAGTACTTGCACTAAATCTTTGGGTTTTAGAAAAACACAAACTTTGATTGAAATGAACAGCAAATAAGTAAATATACACTACATGTTTGCTCTTACAGGTAATCAGCAATCTACACATACGTAGATATGTGTAGAATTTCATCATTAGCAAAAGTGATGACGAAATGCACATATTTCCCCTTGTACTAGTACATGTACACTTTGGTTTCCAAAACCTCTATAATGCTACATTTTTAATACTACATGTTTGCAATAAGAAAAATTACATTAATAGATAAAAAAGTTTAAAAAAAAAAAATAAAAAGCTGACTCGAGTAAAAGAAATTGCACAATCTATCACTGTTTATTATATAAACATTAAGGATATTTGATGAAGTATTATTTGGAAAAAAAATAATAAATGAACAACTAAATGAACTTGCAAAAGCTGATTGCTATAAGCACAGGCTCAATACTGAAAATTAGAAATTGTACAAATTATTTTACAAATATTAATACATGTATTTGAGCAGAAAATAATTTTTTAAATCTGAACTTTATCTCAGAGCATTTATTTTGTGATTTTACTAGAATTAGAACAAACAGAAGCATCTTTTCTGTTAAAATACACCTTTATATACAAAAATGAACAAAATACTAACCAGAGTATACACCGGGTGGAATGTTAATTCAATATTCTTACCAGAAGCCTTTTACAGACACTTGACAAATGCATGTAAATTCCTTGAAAATACTTTTATCTTATTCAAAATTCCATAGATTTAAGATGTTTGTTTTCTTCAAAAACATTTAATGCGAATCACAACTTTGAAACCATACTTGATGATGTATCTGCACTGGTATATTGATTGAATTCTAATCAAATTAATTATAACCTATATTAATTAGTCTTAATTAAATAAAGTCTATGAGTTGCTTCTTTTCAATAAATTACAGAGTACTGTGGATAAATTCATGTTCTAAAGACAATCCTCTCAAGAACAAACAGAAAAATCGAGATTTAGAAAAGAAATATATTGCTTAAATTATTTACAGATACATGAAGATAATTTCCACCACCTACAAACTACTTCTTACACCACACACAAAAGTCTGGTCTATGTCACACATTACAGTCTGAATTCCTTTAACTCATCATGGCCTTCTTGAGACTGAACTTGGTTTCCTTGAAAATCTTGACTTGAATTTCATCTTTCTTTGGCTAATCAAGAAAATTTTTTAAAAATTAAAAAATAAGCATTACAACATTTGAAAACCTTCAGATTAAGATCTCTCTTGTTTTATCATGGATCATTCAAAATGTCAGTTAATGTATATGGTTGTGCTCTTACTTGTACAACTGTTTTGTCTGCATAAATTTTCTGTCCTTCAGGTATTGGAATATCATATCCATACAATTCATCCTTGATTGTAACTCTTATGCCCACATATCTGAAAATACACCAGTAATTTTAAAAAACAATTTAAAAAATAATGACTGGAAAATATTAGTAATATTGCCAGTAATATTGGTACATCTAATTTTATGAGGATGTTAAAAAATAGTACATTTTATTATGTAGATATATATGTTTAGAAAATATACTCTGTGTATACATGTGTTTTGTGTATAAGCCATGTATTATATATGACCCAAGAGGGAGAGAGGGGCTACATACAAAATATCCCTATATTTAAATGACCATACACCTTTACTAGAGAGGTTAAGGCCATAATAAAAAAAAAAATTCTAGATTCTCATCCCTGTCAATTCCAATTTTAACCCTCGCCTCATTTTTTTTTTAAATTTTCTGTTTCTACACACAATAAAATCCAGAAATTTTTACAATTCTGATTTGGGTCAGAACTAAATTATCATTCAACTCCTGCAAATGTCAGCATGATTTTGACAGCTGACAAGATGATGCTTAGTGAACAACTGGTTGTGACAGATATTGGTGAAGGTGTATTGTCAAAGATATGTACATTTAAATGAAACTCTATGATGATCGACTTTTATTCTGTCATAAGAGATAAATCTGCAAGAATTTATGAGGTCAACAAAAATATCTGTACAATGAAACAACACAATTTTTCATTAAAAGTTAAATGAGAATCTAGGATTTTTTTAATCATTTTCTGAATTCATCTAAAAATAGGGGTGTAAAGATATGAGGCGACGTTATGGTATTTACAGTAAAACGCGGTTATAACAAGTCACTGGGAGCTGTGAAATTACTTCCCTATATCCGTAATTCGTAATATCAGTATAAGAAATTTGTTAAATTTATATAGCTGGGGATCCAAGAAAAATTCGCAATATCCGTGAATTCACTATATCCGTGTTCGTACTAAGTGAGTTTTACTGTATTGCCATTTAGTGATATCACCTATTCGAATAGATGATATCACTTATTCGAATTGGTGATATCACTTTTTCGAATTGGTGATATCACCTATTGGAAATAAATAGGTGATATCACTTATTCAAATAAGTGATATCACCTATTCAATTTGATTGAGTGATATCACCAATTCGAATAGGTGATATCACCTATTTGCATTTCTTACAACATAAATAATGAATGCTCCCTTCCTCAAGACTTTCTATATTTCCATTGACCCCAAACAAATTCGGGCTGTCCAGTTTTCCCTTACATTTTACTCTGAGACATTTTAAATACCTTATGTTATAGATCCCTATAAAGTTATATAAATTTTACTTGCAGTATTAGTTTTGCTATATTTATTGATAGACAATTAAGTTCTATTAATAATTCTACTACGGTGCTTAAAACCAACTGTGAAGCTGTATACATTGTCTCCACAAGAACACTCATGTACCTCAGAAGTTATAAAACGAAAGTGAAAGTAATCAAAAAGTCCTGGGAGCAGTTGTTATTTCTTCAATAATTTGCACCTATTTAAATAAGTGATATCACCTATTCAAAATGAATATTCAAATAGGTGATATCACCTACTGTAGATTCCTAAATATGCAAGAGGAATTAATTATCGCGTAATTACGAGAGAAGCACCATTCGCGAAATTAAATTACTCACTTTTATTTTTATGGTGCTTTAATGTATGTAAAATCTCTAGATAAATCACCCATTCGCTAATTATTTTTCTCGCGATTTCAGGATTCGACATTCACGCTCGTCACTTCGTCATTTCCATCTCAGAATGATTTTGGACGACCTGATTTTCAGTCTGGCTCGCCCAAATGACGACCTGGGAAGAGTTGGGAATATTCAACAATGTTGTTTAATATTTTAAAATTTCCAAATTTTAAAGAGTGTCGAACCCTGAAGGGTTTGGTAGGTTGGAGATTTTTTTTGTGCTAATGTACAATCTCACCTCACATATTGACACAAAATAAATTTTCTAGTTTAAAACATTCCATTCATTTTCACATACCATAAAGGCCTAAATAAGGGGGTCAAACATCCCTGGACTGAATTAACCAGGTGTGATGTTTACAGTGGATACCCAACATGGCTGTCTAGCAGCAGAAAACGAACATCAGAAAGTTGTGGAGGAAATGCTAGATGTTACAATAATGATCATTACTCTTTATGGTGATTGTTGACTAGGTTGACATATTTTATATCTCAAATAAAACTTAATTTATCACTTCTGGTAAAAATTACATCAGCTGATTGATCAAACACAGATTTGGCAGAAAGAAAAATCCACGCGGCTGCTATTTGAATGAGTCGGTCAGTTTGCAAGAAACAATGTTTTCAAGGCCTTATAAAGTTTATTTTAAAATATTAAACAACATTATTGAATATTCCCAACTCTTCCCAGGTCGTCATTTGGGCGAGCCAGACTGAAAATCAGGTCGTCCAAAATCATTCTGAGATGGAAATGACGAAGTGACGAGCGTGAATGTCGAACCCTGCCCTTGATTTATTGGGAATATTACATGAAACAAACATAATTTTTTAAAGCCGAACTAGGATTCTGATTCTGCTTATTAATATTTGTTGGCTGTTTTCTTTGTTTGATAAAATACTAGAAGACAGCTTTTGGCATTCCAAAAATGCCTGGTTTACATTTTATAATACAAAAGCACAACTTCTGTTATCTTAACAAATTTTAAACAATTGCACATTTTTGTTTCATTTGATATTTTGTTTGAGCGACCTGAAATTCATTCGGGCAACCTGAAATCAGTACCAAGGTTGCCCAAATGCCGAGTCCAAATTTTAAAGAGTGTCGAACCCTGCGATTTGACGCCCTTGGGCCATTTCGAGATATTAAGTACTAGCATAAATTAAGGAATCTACAGTATTTGAATTGGTTATATCACCTATTTGATTTGAATAGGTGATATCACCTATTCGAAAAAGGATATCACCTATTCAAAAAGAATAGGTGATATCACATATTCAAATAAGTGATATCACCTATTCCAATAGGTGATATCACCGATTCAAATCAAATAGGTGATATCATCTATTCGAATAGGTGATATTACCAATTCAGAAGCTGAATAGGTGATATCACCAAATGAATAAATGATATCATCTATTTGAATAGGTGATATCACTTTATGACAGTAAATGCCAAAACGGTGCCTCATTTAAAGAACTAAAATTGACTGAAACATCATGAATGTCTATAATGTACACAGCCTTACGTTTCTGTATGGATCTTTTCTATGGACCCCTTGTAATCTGAGAACTTTATGTCTTTTAGGGTTTTTTTCTTCTGCATCTCAGACTTTGATAGTATCACCTCTGCTACCTCATCTGTTTCATTGCCAAAGTCAACTGTATATAAAGAAAGGACACAAATAAAATACCAACAGACAGTGCTTAATTAGCTAGACATGCAGGGCTGACTGCTGGTAAAAGTTGTCAGTCCTGCCAAAGATCTACTAGTCCTGAGAAAATAATTGACCTTTTTGGGGGATAATTTCCACTGATTATAGACACTGACTAGTTCTAGCTGTCTTTTCTCCATCAGTACAATTAGTCAATTTGCAATTCTTGCAAAAAAACATGGATATGTAGAATCTGTCATAGAATGGTTTAAGTCAACTGAACTCATTAGGCCAAACAAAAAATATGTTTGTTTACTGTTACATCCTGAAATGAGTAACCCTTTATCAGACAAGTGGCATGAATCTTATGTTGTAGTGCAATGAGCATGCTGATCATGCTGTTGCACTCTTATTTTTCAACATCATACTTTTGTAAAGACATAAGAGATTATTGGCGGGAGGAATGAGAGTATATCTTGATAGTCCAACACCTGTACATGTACCTACATGTATTTTATATCATGATATTGTAAACATAACAATGTATTTATAGCTAACGACACGTAATTGTGATTCATGCAATAAATGTAAACACACCATTCAAGTCTGTCATTGCTTTTTCCGAGGAAGCCATCTTCACACAGGATCTGTAATGATGTAATGTACATTTGAACAGTATTAAATACACAAAAAATTACTTTGTTTAGGCTAAAATTAAACAAAACATGCTGAAGTCATGTGTTCTTCTGATAAAATATATAATTATGAATAGATATATATCTTTTTAAACATTTTCGATATTCTGAAATTGAAACGAAAGTAGTTTCTTACATGAAATCCCGATTTGAACAGTATTAAATACACAAAAATTACTTTATTTGGGCTAAAATTAAACAAAATATGATGAAGTCATGTGTTCCTCTGATAAAATATATAATTATGAATAGATATATATCTTTTTAAACATTTTCGATATTCTGAAAATGAAAGCAGTTTCTTACATGAAATCCCCAGAAGATGTACAGTTCGGAACTCATCGAATATCTTCGCTTTAAAACTTAGTTTTTAGAAAATATCCGAAAAGTTACGATACATAATGTTCATTCGTTCATGAATGTTTCGGAGGTCTGACTATATGTTCCTCAATATTATATATCATTTTCCTCAAGAATTTATCATTAAAGGACTTCTTTTTTTACTCTTTTTTAAAAAGTTTCATCACGAAAAAATTATGTACCTTTCCAGGTATTTGATACCTTTCCAGGTATTTGATCAAGATTTCAAGATTTCAAGATTTCAGTGAATAGTATTTCAAATATATTTTTAATCCTAGTTAGAATACAAAGGCACTTGTTTCTGTGGTGCTTTTTAAGCTATATAATTTGTTATTATTATACTATGGAGTAAAAAAAATACAGAAATAAGTACTATTATTATAATAATTTGGGGGAAAAGATTATTACAGAAACAACTAGGTGCCTGTGTTAGAATAAGCTATATAACTTAAGAGGAGGCTGGGGGTTGTGGCCATTTTTAGACTATATTGATCTCCTTTAGAAGAAGAGCTCCATATGAAGATATAGAAAATGATCAAATTTTAAAACTAAAATTTTTGAAATTTTTCTTTGCCAAATGATAGTTGACAGCTTAAGATATCATATCTAAATAATTAAGTTAAATCTGGTGGTTAATTTGTGGTTAATTTGTTGACCCCCCAGCCTCCTTAAGTAAAATCACTTATTCGAATATTGGTGATATCACCTATTAAAGCTTTTGAATTGGCGATATCATGTATTCAAATCGGAGATATTACCTATTCGAATAGATGATATCAGGCCCGTAGCAACGATTTCAAAAGTGGGGGGGGGGGGGGCAACCTCCTGGCAAAATCTGACGAGCAAAAACAAAACCAAAAATAATATTAATAATAATAATAAAAATACAGCAACAAAAAGTGGGTGGGTGGGGCAACCAGCATCTAAATGAAAATTTACTAAACCAAAATACTATACTCAAAAAAAGGGGGAGCGTTCTACGGGCCTATAATATTACCTATTTGATTTGAATTGGTGATATCGCTTATTTGAATAAGTGATATCACCTACCGGTATTTGAATAGGCGGTTTCACCTATTCGAATTGGTGATATCACTTATTCGAATAGATGGTATCATTTTTTTCTCATTTTGAATAGGTACTTAATATATCACCTATTCAAACTATGTATGAAATAACAACTGCTCCCAAGACTATGCTTAGACTGCATGCATTTACTCTATATAAACATGATTCAGAAAGTTATATTCAGTCTCTTAAACATTAATAATAATAACAGAGAAAAAAGCAATAAATTTAGCAAAACTGACTGCAAGTAAATTATATATAATATTACAGGGACCCATTTCATATTAAGTTGTCTCAAACCATAACACGGGGGAAAGGAGACAGCCCGAAGTATCTTAGGCTCAATCGAAATCTAGTTTTTTATACGTAAAATCGGGTTGTTCAACGGACCTCTTTTGTGCGTATATAACATAACATATAAGATTTCGCCATTTACTAAATGCATTGAATCTAGACTGTCTTGAAGAAGGCACCATTTATTACTTAATGAAATAAGAAATGAAAATAGCTGATACCACTCATTCCATCAAGTGATATCACAATTCAAAATGAATACATGTAGGTGATATCACTAATCTAGGTGATATCACCTATTTAAATAGGTTATATCACCTATATTCAACTCGAATAGGTGACATCACTTATCACCTAATAGATTATTTATATTTCAATATAGGTGAGGTCACCAATTCGGAAAGGTAATACCATCCACACGCGCGGATCCAAGATTTTTTTTTCCGGGGGTGGGGTGGGGGTCCACCCCAGTCAAAAAAAATCCAAGCCAGAAATTTGTTGTTTGTTGACAAGCAAAAAAAAAAAAAAAAAAAAAAAAAAAAAAAAAAACTCGCCGCCCAAACGTGAAAAACCTCTTTCGTGGTCTGCGTTTTCGAGGGGGGGGTCTGCGTTTTCTAGGGGGGGGGGGTCCAAGGTCACCTTTTACTTGGTTTAGTATATAAATTTAATAACTCTGCAAATTCCAGGGGGGGGGTCAGACACACACACACACCCCGACCCCCTCTAGATCCGCGTATGATCCATTTCAATAGAATAGGTGATGTCACCTATTCCAATAGGTATATCACCTATTACATTTGATTAAGTGATATAATCTTTTTGAATGGGTGATAACACCTACATTTATTTGAATAGGTGATATAACCTCATACTGTGTCTCGTTACAGGCCCTCAAACCGGGTCCGTGGGACATTATCGATAGAACATTCTATCTATTAAATATAATCCTATATGAAATAATTATCACTTAATTTCACAGTTTTGCTGACATTTAGAGACCAGTTTAGAGATGAAAATAAATACTTTTGATAAATTACAAAAAGATATTTGAGGATTGTGTTGTGAGACATTTAAGAGGAAATGACTGTGTCTCTGAATTTCACAAAGAGCTTCTCCCTAAAACCAGAATCCCAGACTCAGCTAGGGGCCAGGAATTTCACAAAGAGCTTCTCCCTAAAACCAGAATCCCAGACCCAGGGGCCAGGAATTTCACAAAGAGCTTCTCCCTAAAACCAGAATCCCAGACCCAGGGGCCAGGAATTTCACAAAGAGCTTCTCCCTAAAACCAGAATCCCAGATCCAGGGGCCATGAATTTCACAAATTTGTAAGAGGCACCCTTGCTTATCATAATCAATCACTTTTTTGTATAGTACCCATTAGTACAGAAGAAGATTTTCATATAATTAATGCATTTTCATTATAATATCAATAGAGCCCCACCCCAAAACCAGAACCCCTGTCTCGGGGCTGTATTTCACAATTTTGGAGGAGCCATGATCCCTTGTTTGTTTGCTAAATAACAAAGGAGCAGAAAAGAAAAATTTCTAAAGGATTTATTCATTTTCACTGAATGTTCAAAAGAGCACCACCTTTACACCAGAACCCCTGACCCAGAGGGCTTGACAGAACCCCTGACCCAGAGGGCATGAAGTTAACATTTTGGAAGAGGCGCTCTTAAAAAATTGCTCATCATAACCATGCACTTATTTTGTTTGCCTAATACTCAGGAGCAGAGAAGAAGATTTTCAAAGAAACAATGCATTTACACTATATAATCAATAGAGCCCTCCTCCCTTCCCTAACAGAACCCCTGATCCTCAGGCCACAAATTTCACAATTTTGGGAGAGGCATCCTTGTTAATCACAACCCTACACCTAGTTTATCTGGTTAATTTTCAGAGGAAGAGAAGATTTTTAAAGAATTTAAGCATTTTCACTTAAGGTAAAAAAATTATTAGATCCAAATTCATTATCCAAAAAACAAATCCCTTCTATATATGATCATATCGGGAAATATTTCATTTGAAGAATTCTTTGTATTTTCATATGCAATTACATGTAAATAGCACCCCTCGCCTGAATAGCAGAACCTACCAGATCTCGAAAATCTATCCTTCCAATATCTTCCGCAATTTGTATAAAAAGTTTTCAATAAAAAATAAAAGCGGTTGCAGGTAGTATGGTGTTTCAAAAACTGCCTATTTTTCCAACTTTCAAAGTTGATTTATTTGTTTTCTTTGCGTGAATCTTATGTTGATCATGTGACCGATTTTAAAGAATGGATTTATAAATTGTACGTCAAAGAATATTAATCGGCAGTAAAACTTAAATGTCCGCGCCAAGGTTCAAAAGATCCGGGCTATTTTGTTTAATTTTGGCATCTTTTGCCTCAAGTTCGAAATTGCGACAAAATCCTTTTAAATTAAATGCCAGTAGTTTCAAATATTGCCCTTAAAACAGTGTAAAGGAGAACAAGATGTAACGAACTAATAGATGACCAATTAGAATGTATTTATTAATTGCGAATGGTTGAAAGTACGCCAAAATACTGTCCCGTTGGAGCATTGGCAATGACATGAAATATATACTAGTGTTTGAAAGAGAATGGGTTGATAAAATGTTATTGCAAATCTCTCCCATGGGAGAATTTGCCTACTTCAACATGTATAAGCGGTAATTTCACTACCTCCAGAATTGTAAGGGGAATGCCATTTAATTCGGGGGGAGGGGGGGGGCTGGCAAATTTTTTCGAGTCAGATTCCCGGTATTTATTTTCGTGTCGGTGAAGGACATATTTTTTCAAGGACAGGTTATTTATTTCCAAAATCAGCCAGCCTCTACCCCCCATCCCTTCAGAATCAAATGATCGTCCCCTAACTCATTTTGTCTCTCTCAAGCGGTTTTGGTGAAATAAACTGCCCACAGACTGTACATTTACATCCATCTAGAGTTATCCATGTCTGAATAAACCATCATTCTGAAATCGAACAGCCCTAAGCCTAAACTCGGAGGTGCGGAGACAATGAAATTTACTGTTTTTGTTGTTGTTGTTTTTTTTTTGTTTTTTTTGTCTCCATCATTCCTAAATGTCATATATATACCAATATTGGTTGAAATTAGTTCAGAAAAGCTGAAATTGAAGGTTAAGAATTTATAAATAATGCACAACTCACGGCGATGAAATGGCGTGGAAAGCATTTATGACTCAGGTAACCTAAAAAGTGGTTCATTGTAAAGATTTGTGATGTAGCTGACAGCATTAAAAAACAAACTCTCAAAGTTATATAGATATTGTATCTTTTACTGTAAAAATAACAATCATAAACGGTTAATCAAAAATATTAAGTGTTTGATTTTGAATTAACACAACAATTTTATTTTTTATGAACGAAAAAAAGTTTTGAGACAATGTTATGATGAATTGATTTTAATTAATATAATCAATAACCCAACTTACTCCAAGCAATGGATATTATATAAAATACATGTAAATATGTCTTGAAACATTTCAATGGCCCTCCCCCATGGATTTCAATCATTCCTCTGATTTAACAGCATTAATAATAATAACTAATATTCTATATATAATAAAAATGTAAATCATTTTTGGTA